ATGTTGCTTATCGAAAATCGCTCTCGTCACGCCATAGAGGCATCTTTTAATAGTAAATAACAATTTTTTTCACTGTCACTGGTCCATCCATTCGGCTAGAATCATGCACGCCACAAAGAAGTTTACCTGTCTTCCTGAAGGCAAAGAAGACCATGTTCCCGAGGGGATCACATCTTTGGCATAGGTCAAATTTTAGTTTAATTCATGACAAATAAGAGGGTATTTTGTCCATGTCGCTGCGATTGGTAGTTTTCTCAAAACATATAATTTCCTGAAGATATGCATTTTACAGTATTTGACAGGTCTGCCCCTTAATATAAAGATGAATTAATTATCCAAAATGAGAAATGAGAGCTACTCACAGCACCCTTTGTTACTCTTTGAACCCTCTGCCTTGCCCACTTAAACTGTTCCATAAGTTCATGCTGAGCTTCTAAACTGTCAATGCATGAAATGCAAACAGTTTTGGGAAGGGGATCATTCGGATTAACCTGTTAAGACACAAATAAGATGAAAAAAGACAATGTGCAGAAAAAAAATATTATTGTAAAGGATAACACTACTTTCAGTTTATTTTTTAATTTTTAACGGACAGGAACACACTTTTGTAAGGGGAACCAAACTATATAGACCAAACAGCAGTCAAGTATTGATGTACAGGGAGTCAAGGTGGGGGAAACAAGACGAATAGATATAGCCTATTCTGAGCAAAAGCCAAAATTGTATAGGAGGCGAAGTGTTGTTTTCATCTATTGCCTTTAGACGATTTCCACCAAAAGTAGGGAAAGTAACATAACCTTTATTTCCAGTAAACAAGAGATGCTCAGACTGATTCATGTTTTACACTTACCGTGATTGGGAGATAAATATTTATCTTTTGAGCTAGTTGCATTTGCACACCTTCATCCCCATAAATATGGACAACAAAGCGGTTCATTCTAGAACACAGTCTACAAATAAACCCTGTGATCACGGCTTTGTCGTCACTCCCCATTTTCTCTCCTTAGTGCTTCCCACTTCCTGGGAAAAATCTACGAGCAAGTAATAATGTTTAAAGGGTCGCACACAAAATAAAATTGAGCGAAAAAAATGACCAAAGAGTGGGATCGAACTGGTTGAGAAGAAATAGATTAACCCAGGACGCACACGAACACTGCGCGGAGATCAACGTTGTTGTTGTTGTTCGTTGTTGTTGTTGTTGACTTGACGGCTGACAGTAGCGCTGGCTCAAGCAAGCTGAAGGCCGACGACCCACGACCCACCCTTCTCCTTGAGCCTCTAGAAGCCTTCTCATATCCCCTTTTCCTCTCCAGAAAATGTAGACTTTTCTCCCCTAAAACATTTGATTGTGCTTTTGATACCAAAAGTTGTCGCCCATACTGGGGGGAGGGGGGTACTTTAAGGTACTTTAAGGTACAGTACTTTTAAGGTATTTTGACTCCACGCTACATCATGGCTACATCAAGGTGGATATGTATCTACCCACCTTGAATTGTGTCATTTGGCTTTCACAGCTGACTGGGACGTGAAATAGAGGTACCTGAGGCTATTCCGATTCTGGGGGCTTCTGTCAGGAACCAAAAGTACCCGAGCGGCGCCGTGAACGCGTGAAGGAACGGCCGCTGGGAACGAACGTTCTCCATTAGCTCTTATGGCGCGTTCACCAGTTCGTTCTCTTCCCCGCCGCGTTCCCGTTCCTGTTCATGTTCTCAAAGTGGATCCCGAGAAGCGCCCCCCCCCCCTGAAAGCACACTTCTCGCTGAAAATCGGTGTTGTGCGTATTCCTCGAGCCTCGAGGCTTTCTGAAAACGAAGTGGATATTGACACCGATTGGTGCAACCGAAATTCCCCGCTATTCCAGGCTATTCGCACCAAAAAGAAATATCTAGGGTCTATATACTTTTCAGCTGGCGCCGCACCGAATTCCAAATTTCCCGCTACCGATTGATGTGAGTATGAAAAATTAACTGGGCAGCAAATAAATAGGATGACAACTTTCCTGGCACGCTAGCAGCGGGAGCGGGACAAGAGGAAATGTTTACATTTTGAAAACAAATCCAGAACACAGGTGGCAGACGGTAATTTTGCTTAGGGTTGGGTTATAATTTGAAAGTGACGGAATATCATTGTTGCTAAACTGTTTGTTCTCACAAACTGGAAATCATATTGTAGCATGAATCACATATGAATAAACACTACAATGAAGTTTCGCGGCAAGATGACAGAGTTGACATGTATGAAGCAGTTTTCTAGTAAGTATTGTACTAAAGTGCCATTTTCTCCACTGTTTGTTTTTTAGTCAATCACAAATTTAATTTCTGTTACTAAATATATAAATACTTCTCCAATTATCTCACCTATTAGGTGTTGTACAAACGTTGAAAGGGCTGAGTCGGTTGTGTGTACTCCGTCTGTGTGCAGACAGATTTCACTTCATTATTTCCCCAGAAAATATGGGTCAACGTGGAGCTATGGTTTGGTGCACTTTAGATCAAACCCATTTTTTCAGTGAATATAATATGAAGGGAGTTACAGAAGAAGATAATGAAATATATTTAGAACTTGCTCCAGGTGCTTTTACATCTTTTTAGTTGTTGTTTTTCAGTCGTTCAATCACTGTTGCGTTGTGTACATAATATTTGTTCCTTGTTATCTTTACAGATATGCTAATGAAGGCTCTTAACTCATTAAAGTTTTCTCAAGTTGCTAAATCGGTTAAGATTAAATTAACAAATAAAATGCATCCTTGCCTTACCTTTGAGGTAGAGTTGGTGAGTTAATGTCTTATTGCTTCCTTTATTATTTACTTTCTCTTTCCAAGGTTTTTTAAGTATTGTGCTTTTGTCTCTTTTTAGCCATCCAATGCTATGCATTCCCGTATCTGTGTTCATGATGTTCCTGTGAACACTATTCCAAGAAGGGATTGGCCTGACTACAGACCCCCTGATCTTCCTAGATTTGATGTGAGTTACAAATATTTCCTTCATGGTATATATAACTTCCTCTGTAAATTTATAATGATTTTGACCTTTTTTTATATAATTTAGGTAGGCATTGAAGTACCCAGCTTAAAGACTTTGCGGGGTGTAGTTGATCGTATGAAAGCTTTGCAGCCACATGTCGTCATGGCTGCAAACAAGTTAGGTTCTATGTCCTTGAAGGTTAGCACAGACACTGCTAGCATTGCAATGCACTTTAGAGATCTCCGAATTGTTGATCCTGGTCTAGGGAGTAAGTACATATTTTGGCTTTTGCCAGGCCTTTAAATAATAATTTCTTAGTATTAAAATTAATTATGTGTCCACAGGGCAGATTTTGAATAGTGAAGGAGATAATGAAGAAGATATGTACTCCGTCAGATTAGATGCAAAGAGACTTTCATCTGTACTTACAAGTGAGCTACTTCATCCAAGAAGGGTAATTTGTCATATATTAGACGATCAAATGCTGCACATGGTATTAGAGCATGAGGATGTCCTCATGCATTACTGTGTGACAGCTGTTTCTGCATAATTGTGCCAAAATTCCAAAGGAAAGTTAAAGTGAATTTCTGGGGTGAGAATATGTTAAGAAAGACAACAGCTTTTAGGAGACATTTACATTTATTTATTAATAAATACAGCAAGGTACAAACAGTAGCTAAAACTAAGCTGTTCCAGCAGCAGCCTGCGGAAGACATGAGCTCTTCCTCCATAAGAAAATACCTCTCAAGTTTTTAGAAGCACCATTTGGACAAGTAAGGAAAATTTCAGTTCTCAATGATGCTCTGACATATATATATTCTCTCTTGCGCCAAACTGACCAAGTCCAATTTTTGATTATTTGTTCACTATTTTCCAAATTTAAAGGCACTAGTAACAAAACATAACTTGATACCTTGTCAGTATTCAAGAAAAATGATGCTTTGTGATCTGAAAGTAGTCGGTCAAAACAGTCAATGTTTGTGGTTAATTTGTCCATTCTTCCAGGTATGAGTGTTTCTTGTTCTTCAATTTGAAATAGATGTTATTTTTTAAAAAAATCAAGTACTAACACTAACCCATTGGGTGTACTGTGACCTCACTTATTTTTTAAGGCTGGACAATCAGCAACAGCTAATGCCATAAGGCTTAAGACCCTTCTGAATAGCAATGGAGACTGATAAAAAATATGCTGCCATTCTTGTTCAGAGGGAATTTTGAAAAAAATGGTGTTACAAAAGACAGTTTTCTCCTTTCTCTTTAAATTACACATTTTCATATAATATTAAATATGCTTCTGCGTGCCTCCAATAGATAATTTGTAGTTATTTTTCTTTTGTAAAATTGTAATCTTTTTCCTAGTTTTTCACTCTCCATTTTAAAATGAACCTGAGATAAGATTTGCCAATAGAAAAGTTATGCTATCAGTATAGCATTAAAATATAGAATGACAGAGAACATGATGTAATTTGGTTTTACTACATGATTTGCAATGTTCTGTGGGGAAATCTTCCCTGTTGAGTATGTGAGGTTTTTATTTCTTCATTTTCTTTCGTCCACCATCCATTCCGCTTGGCAAAGCTCCGGAACACTCTAAGTAATGGATACAAGGGGACAGGATGAGAGGTAATTGGGAGAGGGCAAAGTACAGGATGAAAAGTGGTGTAAAACTCACAAATTTTGCTACAACAACCTATGTGGACCTCAACATAATGCTATGCTTTGAGCCTATGGACCATGCAAACAGGAACAACTAGGCATTTGGTAAGGGTATGGCAGTGAGCCTTTCATTGCAGGCACAGTCTATCACAGCTTTTAGAATTTTGCCAAACAAAGACTTGTGTTATTGAGGCTCTGTCTTTGTCAGGTGAACATATGCGTGTCTGGGAAACCACATTCATTTTAGGTACTTTATACAGAGTTGCATGTGCAAGCTAATATACTTCTATTGTGGTGGCTAAATAGGAATTTCATATTTTTGGCTACTCTATGGGAAAGCACAAACTGAGTAATGAATGTGGACACCCTCCACAAAAGCAAAGAAGCAATCCACCTTTGTCAATAGCAACACCAACAGTTTTAGTGAGGAGGAAATGTTTTTGTTGAAATAGACATAGGAAATTAACACACAGTAGGCAAAAATGCAAAAAATAAAAATAACACCAAAAACCATAAATTTCCAGCCTAACAGCTGTATACTTATATAAACTATCAGGGTCTTGAAACAATCTCTCCTCTTTGAATATTTGGTGCTTCTGTACATGTATATGTTATTTAAGTGGTATTTCAGTTCATAGGGAATTACAACAGTTTTAACAAAGCTGCTAATCAAAAGACAACCATGGAAAAACAAGAAAATGTGTCTTCTTTCTTCCACAAGGGTTTCAAAGATGTCTTCATTACATACTGTTTTGTAATTCTACTGATTCTATTGATCTTGCACTTTTTGAATTGCATTTTGATTGTAACAGTCTCACCTTTAAGAGGTTGTCCATACACTATGCCATTACAACTTGGGCTTTAATTTATCTCTCCCTCCCAATCTCATACTGTTAATCAAGCCTTTCTCATGTTAGGATACAGGGTGGCCGCTCTGCCCCGTCATTTTGAAAAGGTAGACTAGCCCGCTTGCAGACGGAGAGGGGAGGTGAGAGGGGACTGGAGAGGTCGTGCGGGCGGGCTAGTCTACCTCTTTTAAAAAGACGGGGCAGAGCGGCCACCCTGTAGAAACATCGCCTGCCTCTTCTCCTTTCCTCCATTATTGATTTTGCAACGCAACCTCTAATATGCAAAACATCTTATCTTCTGCTAGTTGGAGTTCTTATATGTGTCTCACTCACTCTCATTCAGTAGTGAATTTTGGTTTTTCAGAGTTGGAGAAATTCTCTTGTAAAGAGTGTGTCTGCCCTCTGCACTAATTTACACATACACACCTTTATAATTTATCATTTTACTGAATATGCTGCCTTAGACCATGTTCATTTTATAGAGTTTCTTTTCACTTCAGCCAAGTAGAGCAGTTCTCGTCTCCATCATCATCAAGGTGATGATGATACTCAATTGCGACACTTTGAAATTTTGATGGTTACATATTCTATGCAAATCTATATTTTTGGAATCTTGTAGATGGGAACCACACTTATATACAATACTCTGATAGATTATAGGCATCTATATTTCTTATAAGGACATCAAGCAAAGCTTGTCGTATTACATCTAAGAAAATCGGTCAATAGTTATTTATTTTTCCATCCTGAAGGATTCCACAATGACTGTTGTAGAGTAATGAGCGTTTCCCAAGAAGGGAGACTGGACTGTGCGTAGAAACATGAGACAAGGTAGAGTCTCACAGTAGAAAACAAGAATAAGCCCTGTACTGACCTGAATTTAGCCATAGGGGCACAAGTTACATACTCAATTTATGTGAGGCCACTCACCTCTAACTAGTTAAAACTATCTATCCAAAATCAATCTCTCTTCACTTATACTTACACGTCGGCAGGGGTTTCGTGTGACTCCACCACACGTGTGGCGGCCACCGCACCGACGCGCATGCACACGCACACACACACGCACACATCGACAGCGATAGGGACACGTTGGTCGGGTTGGGGACGGACAAGGCTAGCAGCCAAGGATAAGGGGTGTTCAGGCGGCGCCCTCGGCAGCGACGCGCTCGAGCGGCGCGGAGGTGAAGGGAAGGGCGCCCAGGTGATTCTGCTGCGAATGGGAGCGTGATCTCCTCCAGCTCGGCACTACGAGTGCGTCAAGCCGACATCGGCTTCTACAACGCGGCGAGTCCTTCCAATAACTCCTCGCCTTACAAACATATTTTTTTATGAACTCTCTTGCCATACGTATACAACGCGCAGCGTTCTCTGGTCGTTCCCTCGGCTTCTAATCCCCTGGTGTCTCCCCGGGGATACAGTAAGAACGAAGCTGCTGTGTTGGAGAGTAGGAACAAAGATATATGCGGGTATTTTCAGCAACCTACGTCGTTAGAGAAAGG